TTCATTTATATACGATCCTCACGTAATATCTTTATAAAGTAAATAAATATTTACTTTATACAGTGCAAACCGCGCGTGAACAGTTCAGTTACACCTTAACCCATTAACCAAATCTGACACTATTTAAATAATTTTTTTATCTAAATAATGCCCATCTCTGCTTGTAACCCGGTGTAACTGCGTGATCGTCACGAACAATTGGACCCCGAAATCTCGAAAACTGCGGAGCTCCGGAATTTTTAGGGCTGCGAAGCGATGAAAAGAGACCGCCGCTTTAGGCGGTCGCGTCTCCGGGCACGGCCATCGGCATATGCGGCTCGCGTGCATCGATGCAACCGTAGGATCGCAGTAACAGGTGCAGATGCAGAGGAAGCGATCGTTAGCCCGACAGCCCGCGGTGCATGTGCGCCTATTATGATTTCTTTCGTAATTAGTCTCCCTCCTCTGTCTCTCTCCTCCCTTCTCCGCGTCTCTTTTAACGCGTATTCGGGTGTGTACCTATTATTTATTTCGTTGCACGCATGCACGGAACCGAAGAACATGTGCCAGCCTTTGTCGTTCGCGGTCCTCTCCGAGTTGTCTTCGGGGACATTGGTGCTAATGTCAAAAATGACCTTGAACTTTTCAACGGAGGTCTCTACACCCCATTCGCAGTGACGTTTATCCCTCTGGCTGGAACTGACGTAAGTATTACGTTATTTCGAAAGTTTCTTTCACGACTTATACTCGTCATCTGGCAGTGTTTATATAAATAAATAATCTTATCCGTCAGAAATTGGTTTCATCCTTTTCAATCGTCGTCTAATTATTGTGGAGGACATTTAACCCTTTGCGGTCGTATTAAATTTAGGCATGGCTATTGTTCTGGTCGGAATTAATTTCCGAAGAACGAGCAGTGATATTAATTCTTTTGTGGACTTTAGATATATGTTTACACAATAATCTGTTTTAATGCAACGTTATTATGTAAAAATTATATTTTATAGTTCTCCATCGTGTGGTATCTTTCGGTAACTTTCTTCTTGCCATTTTGGAGTATTGTTTTTGTAATATTTTAAGAAACCAGAATGCTTAATTACACTTAAACACAATTTGTAAAATATTATTTGGAATTCTACCAAATATTTTCGACTATTTGGTATTTATTACAATCTGTTACAGAAAAACTGACAATATTCAATCTATTTGTCCTTGAAAAATTTAACATGTAGATATTTCATCCACTGGTTCCTATATTCTTGTATAACTTAATATAAATAATAAATTACACAGTAATATAAAGCCTTAAGTCACTCTAATAACTCTATAATAACCCATGAATACCTATTGAACAAAATGAAACCATCACAATGTAATCCCTCTGCAACAAGCAAAACAATTAAACGCCTACCGTTTGAGTGTAAAAGATTTGGAACTGAAAAAGAAAGTATCGACTAAGTTTAAACAAATCCTAATGTCTCAAGACCATAGACGAAACACCCTAAACTATCTAAGAGAACTTCACTTTAAGATAAACCTTTACAATCAAATTTAACTTACAATTAGACATTTTCGTCGCAAATAACGAAGGCAGTCAATGCGACGTAAAGAACCTAATTAAAACAATCCAAAAAGCAAATTAACGTACGCGTGCTTGCGTCACGAATTCCACCTTGAAACGTGTAGAAAATGGACGATCTGTTTCGCGCGTGCCCCGAAAATGTTACTAGTCCACCTCCAGCACCGAATGACGCTGTTTATGGCAAGGAAGCGATTTACATCGTCACGTTACAATTTCAATCGGTTAATTGCTCACGTTTACAACGTGCTATTGTCGCTACAGCCACGGGAAATTTACCGAAAGCGTTAGCGAAAACAATGAAGGGAATGTATGACGCACTAACTCCACGAACGGTCTTGAAATTTATGGATCTTTTGAAATAAATCGTAAGATCGATTGAAATATAGACCGATGAACGAAAGTATTAGCCCGACACATCGTGCATTATACAATGTGCACTTATAACAGATCACCTGTACAACTCGTTTATTTTTAACCCTTCACACTCGTGTATTCTCTCTGATGGAACATCGTTTAATAAACTTTTTGAAAAAATGCTTCCTTGAAGTTTTCTATTCAAATGTCACGACAAAGTAAATCAAGCAGTGGTATACACGATGCGTAATTGTCTCCCACAACCGATCCCATGAAAAAACATAAAACGTAATAGCAACCTACATTTTTGTACATTTTCACTATATTATTATTTTTATTATTATTATTATTATTATTATTATTATATAATATTAATAAATATTTTTGACGATGACCGATGTGCATTCAAACAGACAAATAACAGATCGTATTTGTTGTTATAACGTCATTTTTTTTTTATTTTAAAATGAAGCAGGCAGAAAGTTGCGAAAAGTGGATAGGAAAAGAATGATGTGTACGATATACGGATATAGTGCTGTGAGTGATTGCAAGTGCCTATATTAATCCAATAGGTTCAAAATTGGTGATTTTGATATTATCGATAAGTTTCGATTAGGACGGCCTAAGAAGATGAAAGATGAGAACTGCTGGCTTAGTTGATGAGGATTTGGGCCAAACACAATAGCTGCAGAACAACTAGTTATATAAAGCAAAAAAGACCGTTTACTAGCAAAGGATGACATCCAATTATTCCATAAAAATATTTCGTTATGACTAGACTGCGGATCTTTATGCAAAATAAAATCTTCACGAAAGTGCCTACAAAAATTGAACCTAAATAATTCTTGCATATTGTGTGCATTTTGTAGGTTCTTGGAGATTCAAATTTTCTATAAATGCATAAAGATCCGCTATCTAGTTATGACGAAGAAACAAACGTTATTGGAACTTGAATGGGAAATTCTAACCATAGAGATATTATAGATAAAACAGGAGAGACATAGGCCAGCCTGTAACTGAAAATATCTTATCATTAGAAAAAGAAAAAAACCTCGATACTCTATCTCTATGCTTTTATTAATGTGAATATAAAATATATATGTAACTATTAAAAGTCAATCTTCTGCCCTAAAGATGGCAAAAGGTAATAGAAAGCTAGGGAAAATATTGTAATCAAAAGTAATGTACAGATTACAGTTAGTTGATAAAGTAATTCGGCGGAATCTACAAAACTTTATCCAAACACCTAATAAATCCCAAAGATCACCGGAAAAACAACAATTCAAACGAGAATATAGCAACGCATCAAGTGCCAATTTAAGTATGCTCGTTACAAAAATTACCTTTTTCACTCGCGGTTTTCTCTTTGTCGTTGGCAATGTTACCCGGCTACAATTCGAAGACTCCTCGATAGGACTGGGTGCCCATCGAAACGGTGCAATGCTCGAGTTATGCGATAGACCCAAGATTCCGTGAGGTATATATCCGAGAAAGCGTCTTGCCAAGGGATTTCGCCGAGGGTTGGCTGTTTGCGCCTCTCGACAAATAAGGGGAAGTCGTTATCCCCTGAATGGGAGGAGTAATTAACTGCTTCTACCTCCTTTCTGTCCGCTCCACCTCTCAGCCAGCATCCTTCCTTTCCGGCTTCGGCTTCTACTCGAAGGAGCAGACTTAAGGAGGCCCGCTTAGGCTTTCACGGGGTCGTGTCTTCATTATTCACGCTAATCTGCTTCGCCTCGCGCTCCGACCGCCTCGATCTCACCCCTTCTACTCCTTCAGTCAGCGAGCTCTCTCGGTTAGTTTATAATTTAACGAAAATTATACAACTACGATCTATTGCTATCAAACGATCCTTTTCTACCTTTCTCCTATTCCGAGATTCAGGAACCTACCAGAATTGAAGAACACACTTTATCAACAGTACATTTTATCAAGATTATTAGAAAATATACCTAAACATGAATTACTACCTTTTTAGGAACCTATGAATCAGCGAATAGTCTTTTAATTTATGTCTTTTTACAATTCTCTTGTATACTACAGCTAAGCAGACTTATAAAATTATCCGAACACGCTGGTGACTCAAATGTTCTACGAATGTGACTGTAACACTTAATTATTTGAATATTTTGAGCACTGATCAAGCATATGAATATTTGCGGTATTTGCATAATATGATGTGGACTATAAATCAAATAATTTCAGTCCTGGAGCAAATAATTGAATATATACAGCAAAACCTCCGTTATGTGAACTAATTAAAGTACAAAAGTGTTCAAAAGATAAGAGAAAATAAGAGAATTTTTACGTAACAGAATAAGGAGTCAACTTTACTTAATACCTACTTATAACAAAATGGAATAAAATCAAGGCTGCTTAATGCTGGGTAGTTGGCCGGAAGCCCCACAAACTAGAGGTCTAATCGGGTACGTTGATCTCAACTGTTGCTCAAATACATTTATAAAAATTAATGTGAGTTTTGGCGACAGTGGTTATCAAAATTTCTCATCGTCTTCCGAACTATATCAACGTGTTTTTAAATGGCTTCCACTTATGTGTATAAATCGTGATATCTTGAAGACCATGAATTTTACGCAAATTAATTACGTAAAATAAGAATATGTAAATTTGCCCAGGACTCCATAATGGATTCAATTCATTTCTAAATAATTTCATGTATAGGACATGAAATTAAAACGAAATAATAGTGTTAAGTTCCCCTTTTTTTTAAGAAAATTAAAGAAATGAATCCTATAGAAGAGAAATTCTCGATCTTTTTTAGAAAGTAACTTATGGGTATTTTTGCATTAAACAAAGCAAAGTTTTTAAACTGATTGAAGTTGTTGGACTTTCTCCACAATCAAGTTTTTCAATGATATCGCATAATTCTTTAATTGCCAATGGTACGTCAATACTACCATTATACGTTCTACATATATCAATTAAATAATGCATCATCGAGGGTAGATTTCATTCTATAGAGAGGAATATGTAAACACTTGTATGTTTATGTACATATAGTATCGTGATAAGAAATATACGATCCATAAAATAGAACGATCATATAACAGAGGTTCTACTGTACTTTCATATTTCAATAATCATATTCAACGTTTATTCGCAATATTTGAATATTTATAAAATACTTAGCTGTTGAATTATTCAAATAGAATGAGATTAACGAAATATGTAACAACGCAAATTCCCTATCCCAGCACTAACGTTTCTTCCTCTCAAAAGTACTACCAAGCAAAAGTAGCTCTAATAAGTAAGACAATTAAACGTAGACTCGTCAACGCTCATTATCAGTGAAATCGTTAATACATGCAAATAATTCGGAAATCATAAAAAAAACTCAGCGACAAAAGGGATGCAATAAAAATTCCATAGTTCAGAGAACACTATTAGCTGTGATGTCCCAATGATTTCCCTAAATTCCACGTGTAACTTTAAATTCTGGCATATAGTGTAGTAATTATAAAGAACCTAAGAAAGTATAAAGTTTAATTTGAGGTAACAACAGAACTGAGCAAAATCTTATTCGAACAATAAGTAACGAATAATAACATTGTACATTTATGAACAATTATTTAAATAAACTTTTATTTGTTCAACATGAAAATAAACTCGTTTTATAATACAGCATGTAATTGTTATCGAACGGATAAAAGATAAAACGTTGTTTACCTTTTATTATTATTTGAGATTTCTATCTAGATAAGTATTTTGCCCACCTCTGATTAGCAACAAGTATTTCCAATTTTCGTTGCGGACCACCTTCGAAAGACACCCCGCGGTGTTCACCAAATTATGATGAATTGTTTTCTCTATTAACTGACAACGCCGACAAACGCGGAACCACAGTACCCCCTACTGAGATAATTCTTCACCAATTTTGAGCCGCTGATTGATCATTCTGACCTAGCAAACAACTCTTGCAAATAGATCGCCGTGATGAAACCTCCATGTCCTTTTCCTTGATTGTGCTTGTACAAACGAAAAGAAAACTCAAAGTTTCAAGCAACATAAGGTGCAAACCAAATAAAATGTGCAGCTTTCCGTTCTAAAAAATAACATTTAAGTTGGGGAGACTTTTACAATAATAGTTACTAACATTATTCACAGAATTACTGTGTTTGTATACATAATTACTACGCTAGAAGCATATTTGTATCACCCTGTTTATAATGTAACAATACAGGGCGAGTTGACATGTTAAAAATATAAGTGTTGCATTGCTGACTTCGCATTACAAAATCTTTTTTTACAATCCGTGACCGCATACGTGGTATTATAATTCTTAATTCTGCGGCACATAATACCTGAGATGTGTAAAGATTTAGCCGTATGTCGATTGTTTATACATGATGTAACGTAAATTGTAACAAAATTATAGAAATATGATAAAAAAAAGCAGCTTTTATTACTTGACACTGAAACAAGTGGTGCTGTTATTGCTTGCTAGCTCATATGATTTTTACAACGAGGTAGAGAGCCAAAAATTGGTAAATCAATAAACACCAGTTTAAGAAGAACAGATAACAAATCGGTGTATCGGTATATTGATAACATAGGGAAAATGCTCTCCTCATTCTGCAAAGCAATCAAAATGAATCGTAGATAGCAATATACAGATGCGCTTCCAGGTTATCGAGCAACAACTATATAACCAAAGAAAGGGGTCTGTAAAAGTATACACCTGGAAGTATAGAATAAATTGTTCAAAATTGTTTGAGTATGGTAAAAAGTACAGGAACGTATTCATGTATAAAAGATGTAAATCTAGAACTGAAATATAAATGCTATGAAACGTTATATATTCCTGTTAACCAACACTTTTAGGGAGCTTCCGATAGCATCTACTTATCATACACCATTGTAGCATAAAAATGCATTTGTTATGATATAAATGCACGACTTAAGTGTACAATGTCTGTTCCAATCTATCTCTTTATTGTGGTAGGTTTAGTAAGACGTTTTGACCTGGTGGCAAATAAGCTACTTGACGGGATTTAGACAGATTAAGAGCAATATCTTCGGCAGCTTCAATTCTTCTAAGTTCAACTAATCCATCGCCAGCTTCACCAAGAGACTTAGCGATTAAACTGGCAGCTTGTGCATCACCCTCAGCAGTAATGACGGCTGCTTTCTTTTGTTGTTCTGCCTTCTCTACTAAGAAACGTGCCTTTTCTGCTTCTTGCTGTGCTACCTGCTTCAACTCTACAGCCTGTGTGAACTCTTTTCCAAAGGTTAAATGCGTCTGAAACGTATAAAAAATGTACCAAAATTAGTACAACATATAAAAATGTATATTCAGAAACAAAAATTATTAAAGTGTACTCACAATAGAAATATCGTCTAAAATTAATCCAAACTGTGAAGCCCTTTCCGTTAAATCTTCGCTAACTTTCTGAGATACAATTTCCCTGTTGGTGATTAATTCTCCTGCATCGAACTGAGCAACTACAGCTTTCAATACTTCGGTAGTGATAGACGGCAGTACTCTGTCATCGTAATCTACGCCAAGAATAGTATAGATCTTTGGCAACGAATCTGGTACTGGTCTAAAGAGGATACGAAGCGTGATGTTAACATTTTGAAGATCTTTGCTTCCGGTAATGACAGGGACATTTCTTGGCCTAGATCGAATATCAAATATGATAGGTTTCTGTACCCAAGGAACAAAGAAATGTGTTCCTTCTCCTACAACATGATTCTTTATACCCGCAAATCTGTCGAAGATAACAGCCCTATGACCTCCATCCACTGTAAAAATGAAGGCACATATTTTTTTTAAAGATGAAGTATACAGATTTCTTATCACAGAGAAAGAAAGAAAACTAACCATTATAAAGGGCAGAGTTAACAACGCTTCCAGTCACAATCAGGCCTACACCAAGTTGTCCTAATCTATTGAAAAATTGTGCCATTTTGTAACGATGTACCTGAAACAACGTGTAAAACCTCACTGCAGGAAACACACAATTATATTCTGATGCAACACGACTAACACAAAATTATGGCCGAGTAATTCTAACCTAAAACTCGAAATAATTACAATTCGAATCCCACGTTAAGTAATTGTAGCGGAAACTTGATTTCTATTATTCTCTATGAACGAGAAACGCTAGAAATACCTTGGTTGTCCAAACCGAGCTAATACAAAGAACTTAAATACATAAAAATGTTTTAAACGACCGGCTCCGAAAAATTTCATTGAATTAATTTCACAATAGAAACAAAATGTCCATGCTCTCGATGATTCACTACACAATCGAAATAAAGTATAATCAAAGTTCTTATATCGGCATAATCAATCCTTACGTAATAAATTCCGTCTTTGAAGTTGGAATTATAACTTTTCTTCTCGCGTGGTATACATGCGTTGATAAAAGGAAAATGGAGTCTATAAACGGGTCAAGGAGGAACCCGACAGAGGCGCCACTTAAAGATCGCTTCTTGAGAGGCAAATTTGATTGTACTTACATACTTGTTAGCGTCAATAACATTCGTTTAAATAATGTGTATAAAAATGACATTTTCAACGACAAACAGTCACGGTACATCGACTTTGAATCGCGTCGAAAACTAATCCTTTGCACTCGGTTGTTTCTTTTGAGGGACATCGTAAGTCTAATTGTAAGTCTAAAGTACCACTTAGAGGACATCGAAGTTTATTAATAATTACACAAGATAAACTTATGCCATAAAGAACGAACCAATATATGGTTTATAAATCGAGTTATATAAAAAAAAATACCATATGGTATTCCGTCAGAAAAGAAGCAGCAGCGAAAACGAGTTCGATATTTTATACAGATATGTTGAAAAATGTAAACATTAATATAGAGAAAGATAAGGTGTAAGAGAATAAACTAACTACTGGGTGTAACAGCTAAACTGTTACAGAGCGATAATGCCTAAACTATCGTCGATACAACCGTGAAAAAAAAATGATGTGAAAAATATCCTCTTGGACTATTCAAAATACGTGTAATTCTGTATTAAAGCTCAAATTAAACCTACCTTACGTGAAAACTTCAACAGTACTAAACAAATACATCAAGTCATCTGTTTCGACAAATACTCATCATTAGATAACAAGATTTAAATACTTCACATTTTCCACTCCTAACAGTCGTCGCTAATAACCATATTTAAGATGTTGATGCAACGTTAAATCTATACAAAAAATATCTTAGAGGAAAAAATTAGTAGGTTGGAGGGGGCCTATCTTATATGACTATTGTCTTTTTTTTATTCAGATACTAAATTCTTCCTTTACAATTTTTTTGTATCAACGATAGTTTAGGCATTATCGCTCCGTAACAATTTAGTTGCTCCACTATGTATAAACAATATATAATATACCATACTATACAAAAAAATTATGAGAAAGTAAATTTTTTTATTTACAATAAATATGCTCCTCGATGCTTGCAAATTCATATAAATCAAATAATATTATAATACGTTATTTAATTTCAAAGCTACACTATATAATATATGTTCGCGTACAATTGCCATCGAAATAGGTCGGCCACTAAAAGGTTCCGAGGAAAAAGGGTTAATGACATTTTGGAACGTTGAAGAATAAAAAAAAAACGCCCCCGGGTGGGCTCGAACCACCAACCTTTCGGTTAACAGCCGAACGCGCTAGCCGATTGCGCCACGGAGGCAACTTGTTCAATCGATTCAATAATTCATTACATAAAAAGATTGAATAAAATTGAGATAAAAATAAATTTTATTTACATTGATATGGAACAAAATAACTCTGAATTAAAAGTAATGACATTTCCTTTTATTATCAACTATAAAATAAATACATCATGGATAAAACGTTACATGCGAAATTATAAGAGGCGAAATGATAATTTAATTAAAAATAAGAAACAACCGTTTGGAATCAGCTTTTTGTGTCCGGTAAGATTATTTGTAAATAACTGAAATATCGATTTATTTGGCACAATGATCAGTACTTAAACTAATGAAATTCTTTTATCTTTTGACACAGTAGGTATTTCAAATAAATATTGATACAATATGTACTTCTTTTAAATAAACTTTAGCATAGTCTAAGGAGTAAATAATCACAGGTTACCCAAAAATAAACATTTATTTCGCAACTTCTTTCTACATTATCATTCTGCGTAACTCTAAAACAGGTAAAGTCTCTTGTTTTATAAAATTATTGAATATCTATGATTGTGATAATCTCTGCTGTACACATTTTGTAAGATGGCTGTAATGTATGAATGATCCTGCGTTGATACTTTAGTTATCAACAATTTTATATGTTACTGAGTCATGTCCCTTTTCGTTGTTCATGGCACCGCATAAACCAAACGTATGTCCCCGAAGCTTAGTATTTGCTACCACGGTCACGCTGTTTGGCGTGTAAAGGATGGTTATCGGTGTCCATGTTGATTGGATAATCAAGTGGTCGTAGTTTGAGCTTAATCTGTGAAAAGAAAACACATTGTTATCGTATCTGTGTCATACCTTATTCAGGAGTGTTAAATTAGAAATTGTGACATTAAACTTAGAGAATACAGCTATCTCTTCTTTACACAATCCCTCCTTAAATCGAAGTCACTTTTCAACGTTTTTTAAAATAACCGATTTTCAAAAATGGGAATTGTTAGAAACAAAGATTTACACTGTGGATGTATTTGTATAGCAATTTTGTACTATTTGTTAACATTGGCATTGAACTTGAAAAAGGGAATTTCTCAATTTTTGTTAACAGATAAAGCATTCATATTGATTAACCCCTTCACTTACACGCTATCTCCCGATTGCTCGGGCTATATTGAACAGGAAAGTAGGAAATACGAAATACCACGAGACTGACTCGTGCTTATTGTGTATGGACCAAATTCCTTACCACGAGTGAGACTCGTATGATGCTCTATTTTCACATGCTTACACATACGTATAACTTATATTTACACTAAGTGAATGACAATTTTTTAAAATCAAGTTCACTTTAATTAGCAAATTCTATTATATTTTACGAGGACGGTGAAATCTGACTTCGCACAAAGGCACCCCTTATCCGCGGAGCGGCACTGATTAGAAGAGTAAATCTTTAGCAAAAGAAAAGTGTATATGGTTGTCCTTTTTCTAATCGGAAATCTTTACAACTTCACATTTAATGCTTTTATAGATATAGTTTCTCTAACATTTTCATCATTAGATTAAACATTTACATTAAAAATACCGACGAGAGAGAAGATAAGTTATATCTATAGAAACCAAAGTAAAGATTACAAAATATAGCTTTACATACTTCTTACTTAATGAATGGACTTATAATTTGTTTCACTGGTATTTTATTTCATTTACGATGAAATAAATGCCTAAATTATACGCATTTTATTGTTTCTTTTGCGATTTACACGGTTCGTCAGAAAAACACTATGATTCTACCGTGTAAGTCAAGGGATAAGTGTATACGTATGAACAGCAATTACTCGTGTAGAATTTGAAAGGGAATAAGATAGTAAACTTACTTTATAGCGTAAGATTCCATTTGGTCACTAGGCACTACGAAACCATTTGCGTAATCGCTTACATCCTTTCCGTTAACTACAACACTCAGGTTTGTACCATTGGGAAGTATTTTCAATGAATGCTCATTTAATTCCAGATACATGCCCAATTTTGTATCCATCACTTTTTGTAGAGCAACTACGTATATATGCTCTCTGGTATGGCGGACAGCAGACAAAACGGTCCAGCAGTCTTCAGAAATGTTTTTCGGAACGATGTTATTGTCGTAAGTGTTTACCACTTTAGGGTAAGCCGTACACATCCCTGCGAAAATCACAAAATTAATACCAATAGCGATTGGTAGCGAAACGGTTGTAATATGTGATTGCTTTAAGTTTATCAATAATGATTACAATATCAATAGTTGCAGATGAATGAAGCTGAAATTTTCTGCTTGTAACGATTGTACAATTGATGTACAATGTTGTAACTAACTTCTTCACTTTAATTTTATATCCCATTCATTTAAATTTTCGTTATTTTGTTAAATGCATGAATTATCAAGTAACTGCAAACTCACTGTTTCTATCCTGAACGTAATCGACCAGACTGTGAACAGGGAATTGAACGTTTTGCATCAACATATTCCAGACTTTGTCACCGAATGGTAGTTGAAGTAATTGATAGCCATTTATCGGGGTGATAACTCCTACGTCAACCATTGGTGTCCAGGTTGAATAGTTCAAGAGTACTTTCACGTTGCCCGGTGAAACGAGCTCCGAAGTGAAATTACTGTGTGCGAAGAAAATACCGTGCACGAATTTTTCTATCGTACTTGCTTGCATCGATACGTACTGAGGTACCTAAATAACGGAGAAACATTTAAATTATTCACGTCACTATGAAATACAAAACAATTTCACAATAGTAGACTTTAGGATATTTGAATTTTTTGGATAAAATATTAGGTGGACTGGAAAGTAATGTCGTTTATTTTACATTACATTCAAACAAATTTTTAATAAATTCCTTTTTTTAATCAATTATGTAATCGCTCTCGTTGTCAACAGCCTTTTGCCATTTAGTGTAAAAATTTTGAATGCCAGATCGATAAAAATCAATGAGCTAGTGAGTGATAAACAAGTATTTAAAATTCCAAAAACGACATTACTTTCCAGTCCACCTAATACTTGGACGATTTGTCAACATTGCAACTAGCTTCTTCAAGAATCAAAAGACATACTGCTGTTAATATATTGGTATATTGCATCAATATTGGTGTGTAGACCCTTGAAGAACCTACTCAAACGACACAGTTTAAACCCAGAAACCCCAATTAACGGTTTAATTACAGATTTATTTAGAAAGAGTCTACGTATATCTTAGAAAAAAACTTCCTGCATTAGTATACACGATGTGTCACTAATACAACCAGCACAGGGGTAATTCTTCACGTAAAACTGAATCTAAGGTATAGAATAAAGTTTTTTCATACAAGGCTGCATTTTCGAAAAATTTAGTTTTGAAATTTCGTTAGCCGCGCATACACTTAGACTCAGTTTGCTTCGTTCGTCCAGTCTGATTTGCAACCTCCATTATCAAACAAACGTTGCCTGTGATATTTGCAAAGGAAACGCTCTCATCTACAGGGTGTCCCAGAACTCCTGTAAGAGGCGGAAATGGGAGATAACTGAGACAATTCTGAACAACAATTTCCTTTGCACAAATGTCGGATGGGGCTTCGTTTTTGAATTATTAATGAAAACCCACCGACCAATCACA